CTCAATAGAACATGACATGTGAATCAAAAATTACTAAAGGAATGCATGTATGACACTTGCAGACACCTGCTACTTACAATTCATATTAGACTGGTTTTAATTCAGATTGGAATACTTTTCGTTAGAAATGAATGAATTAGAACAAAGTGTTCCAAATTGGACAGATCTAAAAAATTGGGATATATGGCAACCATAATATGGATCTGTTATTATAATCTGTTTATCAATTTTTCTGCTAATGGTTTCGAAAATATTTAATAAATAATTTTGAATATATGTACAGTACAAAGAAAAAGCATTCTGCTCTCTGTTTTCATCTAAAAGAAAAACAAAAATGTTGACAAAGGGAGTAAAGAAAACTATTTTACAAAATTGACATTTTGATTCTAAAGAGCAATTGTAAAGTTACTCTGCAATGGGTAGGGAAATGGGAAGAGCTTCCAGGAATGAAGTAATGACATCATAGGCAGACTGCATGACAAAAGAGTTAAATAAAGTTGGGATCACTTGGCCAAGCCACATGAGCATGGTCCAGTGTGGAAGGACTTTACAATCAAACTGTAGTTTTATTTCTTATATTTAATTTATAACATTATAAAACATTTTTACTACTTTATAACATATTAATTCTAATTTTTTTTTCAGGTTGCTTCACCTTATGTTGCCCTTCCTCCTCCTCCTCCTAATCAAGCTTTACCATCACAAAGTTCTATTCCAGTCATTCATCACTCTTCACATATTCGTCCTCTTCCACCACCGCCGCCATCTGTAATTCCCGTTCCGGCATCAACCGTCAATCCTCCTCCATCTATATCGCATTCGTTTCCGTCGCCGTCTACTCATCCTCCGCCTCCGCCTCCACCGCCGCCTCCTCCTCCGCCGCCACCTCCAAACGGATTCAATACTGTCGCCGGTGTACAAAATTTCGTTACCTCTCCCATACCCACATTACTGACGCAGCCGCAAGGATATCATTTCAATCAAGGTCTTTTCAAATGAATGCCCAATTCATTTATGTTAACTGTGCATTTATCAGAAACTAATTCCAGCAAAGTGAAATATATCTTTTAAGCATTTGTTGTGAAAATAAATTAACAAAACTATTGTGCAAATTAAATCAGCAGTAAAAATTGTATATTTACAAAAAATGAAAAGACCAGAAAAACTGAAAGATCTGATTACTGGCTGGATGCAGAGTTGTTTTGGCAAATGATGTCCATTCAACTGATGATTTATGTTTGAGATTTCAAATCATTACTGCAAAGATGATTATGTTATTGCAGTGGTGCATCATAAATCTTCATAAATCATATGTAGAATTATCCAAATCTCTTGTACATAAAGATCTATATATTTTTTCTTCATTATATGTAAAATTTTGCTATCTTTGAGAAGCTCTTTAGTTATAGCATTAAACTAACATTTAGATAGATAATACATTGAATACATTCAATGCATACATACAAACATATATGTGAGATTTTAACTTCATTAAATCAATACTATCATCATTACTGCAAAAGCAGCTCCTGGTGCCCTACTTGTATCATTTTACTGTCTGGAAGATAGATGTTGTTATTGTTATTATTAAGTGAATACTTGTAATTAATCTACAATTGTTTCTCCAAAAGAACAAAAAAGAAAAAAATTACCAAAAAACAAAACAAAAAATGATCAAGTGGTTAATAATATTTTATGCCAGGTTTATAATTTTGTTATTAAACATTATCTCAATTGTTTCTTTTTGTTATTTTTGCATGTCCTCTATCATAGAATTTTAAATAAAAAAACAAGCGATAGTTTTTTTTGTATACTAAATATTCACGTAACTTATTTTTTATCGGTTCGACATGTTCATAGATAATGCTATGTAAATATTTTACTTCATTGTGCATTTGTAATGTGACATTGACATCAGTTGTGAAATAAACCGTGGTCATCAGTACCTTTTCCTTAAAAAAATACAAAGTGTTGTTTTGTTTATCATATAAACAAGTATTGCTACCAATATATATAGTTGACTTTTGTATGCTTTCATAACATTGTCATCTGCCTTTGTATTTATCTTAGTAATATTTTAACTTTTTGTTTTTTTTTTTTTGTATCAAATACTTGAAAATGGATCCATTGTTATTCATTTGTAGACAAAAAAAATCTTAAATAATATCCAAATATGTGGTTCCTTAGAAATTTATTTTAACATGTTCTTAATAAGATCATGTGACAGTTTTACATATATTTTTAATTGGGAATAAACAATTTTAAATTGTTTTAAAAAGAAATGTACAGTACATGAAAACATTGCATTTTTTCCACAGATTGGCAAAAAAAAAAAAGAAACTTTTAAAGGAAAATATTACAAAAGATTTTTATTGGTAGTTAGAACAAATTTTTTTACCTCTGATTTTTTGTGTGAAAATTGATGAAAATTAATCTGCTGTATGTATATTGTAAATAGGGTTTATGTAAACCTTTTTGGTTAAAAAAATTATTTGAATAACATCTATAAATTATTTAACATTATATATTCTGTTGCAAAAAATATTGTATATCAAAATAGTATTTTTATTGATATAAAAAAAAGAAGGAAAATTGCTTCGTTTTTAATTTACTTCTACAAATAAATGATTATAAAACTGTTCATTTTTGGTGATGGTAGTGGCCTTCTAGATACTATTCACTATATACACGTGCAGTTGTTATTATTTTTTTTGAACGGAAAACTTAGAAAACAATACATCAGTTCGAACGGGTGTATGCTTATTTTATTAAATAATTATAAATTCATCTTTAGTACTTAAATTACTGAAAAATTCCTTTTTTCGAGCATCCTGTAGACTACATTCTTGCCTACTGAACAAGAAAATACCAAAAATGAAATTATTGAACGAATGGAGTTTGCAATAATAATAGTGTTTTTAACTATATTGTTTTATTACGTTACCATGACGATATTGATTCAAAAATATAAAATACAGATCGAAAAATTCTTCAGAAATTCAAATGTTTAACGGAATCGAACCAATTATGAGAAGTAAATCGACGATTCTGAAGTAAAACAATGCATTTTAAACACGTGGGTGCCAAATATAAGTGCGAAATTGATCGTCTATTGTTTTAAAGCCATTTTCGGGTATTGCGCATCGCTTGGTCAAGATTTGTGAAACGAACTGCTACGTTCTGTTCAGTTGACAAAGTATTCTTCCCACAACTCAGCTCGATTAATCGGGATTCAGCAGTATACCTTTAAATTTACACCCTTATAGAAATAAATTTTGGCTATTTAATGTTTGTAACCATTATTCTACCAGGGAGCTCCACCCCCGCTAGTTGATCTGGCAAATTGACATGCCAAAGTAACGTTGTTAAACAGTTCCCACCCGTTAAAAAATGCGGAAAGGAAAATCAATTAGAAATACTTTCAGTCTGTAGCACGGAAAGAATACAGAAAATCAAATTATAAAATACTCTTAACTTCTGTTGTAAGCAGAAATATCAATAAAAAAATCCAGCAAAGAATTGCATAACTTTCACGGCTGTTATAAGTTTTTATTTAGAAAAATAACTTTTATAGTATTAAGCAAAGTAAATAAAATTGTATGTGGCACCATCTGTTATTAGATTTTTGTTTATAAAAACTTTTTATATTTTTAATTACTATAAAATGGAAAAAAAGCTCAATTTTGAGGGTAGGGATGGATTTTATGAAAAACTATAAATGTTAGTAACGAATTAAGTCTTACCCGTCTCGAGATATGAGTGTGCTAATGATTATTATTGACTACAGCTAAAGATTAAGCCTTAGATAAAACCTTGCACAATTGCAACTGTTATACAATTCAAACAAATACTGTGTCATATGACGAAATCTGATAGACGATGGTAATATAACTTTATTTGTTTTTCTCGCAACACCTGGTAAGAAAACGTAAGTTTATCATTTTGGTGATTATCTATTCTATCCAATATTCACTAGATTTTGTCACAATGATTGACACAGAATACCACAGACGACAGTTCTTACTTCTTATCATATCCTTTATTTAAATCGAAATAAAGGATATTATAAGAAGTAAAGAATTGTTTTCTGTGTCAACCGTTGTGACAAATCTAGTGAAAATTTACTGAGTTACTGCAGTTTATGAGATGACATTGAGTATGATAATGACGAATATTATCGTCATTATCATGGGCATCCGCAGAAAATTTTCCAGGAGGGAAATAATTACATCTATAAATTTTTATCTAATTATTTAATTTTTGGGGGTTTTTTTCACAAGTATATTGTAGAATACAAACTGTATTTCAATTTAAAGATTTTCTCCTGAAATGAGTTAGATAGATGATCATGCTAAGAGGAAAAGTATGATGTACAGGGGCAAAACACTACTAATTTCAGGTGGAAAGCATGTATTTTAAATTAAATAAATTAAAAAAATATGATTCAAAATTGTAGCCCGGTATTGTGACGATGTTACGATAAATAATTGCTCGTTACTCGTCCAAAAGATACGGCAAAACCTGTGTAAACCGGAGTAGCAGGGTATTGATTTTTTTCCACTTAAAACAAGTTTTTACAATACAATGGAAAGTAAAAATGACCAGCATTTATTTATTTTAAAATATATTATATTATATTAATTTATTTAATTTAAAATACATCCTTTCCACTTCAAATGAGTAGTGGCTTGTCCCTGTACATTATACTTTTCCTTTAACAATAGAGTCATATAGGATACATTACATAAGACTAGATTGCTCTCTGGAGACAAAAATCAAGCTAAAATAAAACCAATATGCACGCAATTATGCTAGACAAGATGGAAGGAAGCTAATGAGACGGATGGAATAAAAGAAACTGCTGACAGGATGGGGTGGGAGACTTTTATCCACGATGTAATAGGAGTCAAATTCGACTGGACTACACTTAAACAACAACAAAATTTAAAAATATTCGAAGTAACAATTAAAAAAGTTAAATAAATGTATGATTTTCTCTATACTTAAATATATATTTCACAATTTCCGCTTTCATTTCGAAATCAAAACAACCTTTTCGAAAGGTCGTCGTTATTTAGCCAATAGAAAATACTTTCGCTTTCAAAGATTACGTATTCTTACTTGAATATTTTTATAGGCAAATACATCCTGATAATTAGAAAGTTACAAGCTAACTGTATACAAGGTAATATTCTTATTTACTCCACTATTTAGATATTAGTATATTAACTCTTGTTTCATTCGGTATTTAATTTAGTACGTGTTTAGTAATTAATTATATTTTTACGTCAATTTATAAATAATATAACTAACAAGGGAACTGTCGGAGTGGCATCTAATAAATTTTAATAAAATTTAGTTAATAGTTACGTTAAAAGTATACAAACTCTATATTAAATTTGTAGTATTCACTAAAAGAGTTAATCAGAGTTATTAGCAATCAAATGTCGTACTATTTTATATGCGGATTTTTAAAAGTGAAAGGGTCGCGGAGGAAGACGGCGATATTACATTTAGAATAAATTCTGGAATTTTCGAAAATGGGAGAAGAATTAATAACATTNAAGTAAGTAGAAAATTATTTCGTAGTTAAGTAAGAAAGTAAGGTAATTTTCATATATTTGCTACTTTTTAGTGCGCGTGAATTATGTCTGTCCTTTGCAACGTTAATACTCCAACCTTAAAAGGAAATTAAGTAAATTTGCTTTCGGATTTCCGGTCTACCGTCGAATTTTAATTTAATTTAATTAAATAAAACACAACACTTGTTTCGGATTCATCCGGGATTTTGAAATATAGGTGCAGATTGGGGGACAGAGGCACGTGCCCCCGTCGTTTTTCGGAAAATGTTACCTTATGTAAGATTAAACAAGTACAGTACAGTACACTGTTCTAAATAACTCTGTAAAAGCTCTCCGTTATGGATAATCTGCAGGGATTAAACATTGTACTATTTGACGGTGAAGGAAGTATAACAACCATTTATGCAGCACAGTCTAAACTCTATATATAGAGTCTAGACAAAGTATTTTGCTCGACCGCATCTTTTTATTGGTGATTACACTTAAAATTTAACATATAAATATCTGGTCTCGTCTTTAATGTATCTAACTCCTTTCTCGAGATGAAGGAAAGGCAGACAGTGGAAATTTATAGATCTACGCGTGACAATGACTGAATTTTCTTACACTATACTCGTGGTTTGTAGGATATCAAACGTAATTTAATTGCCTGTTTTCGTAAAGGGGATTGCGACGACCTTCAGTTCATAAGACGAAAATTACTGACGTTGACTCCCTCTACCACCCATTTCATTTTGTCGATCTAATTTCTTAACGGCCTGTATGTAGACGTTTACGTTTTATAGGAGTGAAGTTCTCATCCATTACTATATATTTTTCCTTGTTCTATTTTAAATTAAATTAGTTAACTATGAAATATAAAGTCACTTTTTAGTCATTAAGATAACAATCCAGCGAATAAGTCACAAGGATTGATGATAAATTTTCCTAGTTAAAAGGTCGAGGAGTGGGAAGATGGGGGTGACTTGTCATATGTCGAATGAGGTTAGACTACTTAATGAAGATATTACTGGTTAATATTACTGGTTATTAGAATTTAAAATTATTTTATAAAACTCGTCTGTATCCTCGAAATTAAGCATTTTGCTATTTTATAATAGTTAACAATATAAAAAGTTTTAAAAATAAAATATCATAACAGATGGTACCACACGCAATTTTAAGTGTCCGAGATAGTTACGCAATGCGATGCTGGATTGTTTTTAAGTTAGACGAAATTTATGGATTTCTCGGACATTTTTTGGTAAATAGATCACGTTATAGTCATCTGCCAGTCATTTTTTAAAGATACAAATAAATTTATGTTAATTACTCTTTTTTCATAATTCTATACTCTTATAAACTGAAACACTTAATGATATGTTTTCTTTTATATTCTTCTAAAGTCTCTCGCTGTAAAGCCCAACAGTAATTCGATAACAAGTTCTCGTTCCACCTCCCTCCATTTGAGAGAGTCTGGTGAACTTTTTTTCCATGTTCATAAAAAACAGCTTCTAGACTGGCCGGAAAAAATCTAAATGGGAATGCAGGAAGTGTACTGTACCTTGAGTGACGTATTGCAATCCAGTGTTTGGTTGGACGTTATCAAGTTCACGATTCCCTCATAGTTGTTAGCTGGGACATTTCCCAAAAAATTCTTCGAATGCGTCCTACGCTGCCTTTTTGCTAGGTTTAGTTATTCCTTGAAACTAGGATCCTTCAAAAAGTGTCTTACTTGGGGACCAATAAAAATTCTTTTCTTTACTTTCGCATCGCTCTGATGAGAAAACTTTTGCTTTAGGTAAGCAAAACCTTCTTTTCTGTCCATACTTTTCACACATTTTTTCATAGAGCCTAGCTTGATATGAAGAGGAGGTGAGAGGATTTTGGTTTTCTCCACTAGAGTAGGAAAAAGAATACTTTTCTGACCTTGTAGGTTTGCTGCGCGATCGGGCCACCTTTTTTAAAGCAAATAATGAGTTATTCTTGTTCGACTGTCCCATTCACATATAAACCAGCAGAATTTAGTGTATTCTCCTTTTTAATTTATTTAAATTAAAGACCTGATAGCATTGCAACAACTTTGAGGTCAGCATGCACATTCCACTTAGGTTCATTGTGTTTTATCTTGTCCAGCATCACCTTCATGTAAATTTCTTTCGTGTGAATGAGCGATCAAAACAGACGGATGTCTATTGGCATCATGCAGCAAAACTCTTTTAAAGCTGAACTTTGATGAGCCAATAAAAAGTTTCCACTCCGCAGGATCCTATGGCAGCTGAAGCTCCTCCAACAAATTAAGTACTGTATATCATCACAAAAGAAGAAATTGTTCTCCACTGAAAAAATTAACATTTACTGATATCTTTTTTCTGTAAAAGAACATCTTAGATTCTTTTTTCAAAAGTTCTATCGCTGGAGACGTGATGCATGTAGTTGAGCCTGTTTTTTTACAAAGATCCAAATCACGAATCATATCATTCAACTGAGACTGACTGATGAGTTGTGGCTTTTCTGTGGGACTCCGTGATAGGTGCTCATATCACAACTGGATTGTCGTTTTGGCGAGGCGTCTTCAGGATCGGATTCCTCTTCTGAATCTTTCGTGAAATTCAAAGATGGGGCCGACACTGCACATTATGGAACACTGGTCGAAGCGTAGACGACTGTGTTGGGATACTGTGTCTTGCCTTTTGCGGTAAAACCTTTGATGTAAGTCATGCAAAAGTAACAATCTTCGATATGATTATGTAGTTCCAGATAGATCATAGTGACAGCATAAGGCATTGATTTGTGTGTGCCCTTCAAGTCAATATCCACGTGTATGAATTGCAGCATATTTTAGGAGTCCAGGTCTTACCTTGATCTTCCACCTTACAGTTGAAATAACGATAGCACGCTTTCTTTACTAGAGACGTCAGTGATTTTCGTTGCGATTTCAAATTTTATTCTGTACAAATGTAGCAGAAACAGTCTGACTGGTTTGCACATGAGTGACATGTTAAATCTTAGAACACTGTGTCTGAGTCCAAGATCGAGTTTCATGGATTTCTACAAGATCTTATATAGCTGACAGGCCACGCTTTCACACCTGTCAGGTGAGTGAATGGGACTTTGGCACTTGATCAGTGAATGGGACTTTGGCACTTGATCAGTGAATGGGACTTTGGCACTGAACAAAATACAGGTCGGGAATCGCTTTAAAATGACCAGGATGGTCATTTTAAAGCGATTCCCGACCTGTATTTTGTTCAAACAACAGTAACAGAAAGTTTGTCTAAAAGAGACATTTTTCTGCAGAAAAATGGTAATAGAAAACTGTAGGTAATAGAGAAGATATTTGACTTCAGATTCATATTCAGTATACTAAAATACATAATAAAATCATATTTTCTTTCACGGGAGGCTTTTAATGCAGAGCAGTGTTAGTTAGACAGTAATTAATTAGCATTTAACTCGCATTATTTCATGGTAAAAACGTTGCCCGAAATTTTGGCTTCTCCAGAGTGATTATAAAAGTAAAAACATGAACTTATTTATCATCTTATTTTCATATTCTTTAAAGAAAATTATTCGGAGAACTAATCATACATCTTATATTTTATTCATTAATAAATTAATTTTTTTTCTATTGAATAAAGACATACCTAGCTCTCAGGTGCTTCGTTTATACGGCACTTATAAACGAAGGGGCCCTATAAATGCCCACGGGCAGAAACAACTGGTAAAACTACAATTGTATTGTATTTAAAACGTATTTTCATTTACATAGCCTTCGATTTCTATAGAAATTTTGAAAAATTGCTCTTTTCTCAAAATGCCTAGCCAATCTTGTTTTACAAATGCATACAGTAGACCCCCCTATAACATTGTAGATAATTCCGTGTTATATGAATTCCATGTTGTACGAGTCACTTAGATTTTACAAATACGTGTGCCGGGCTATGAACGTCTCACGTATTTATAAAATCTAAGTGACTCGTACAACATTATCTACAGTGTTATAGGGGCGTCTACTGTACTATATTTACGTATAATGGTTTTATTAAGGATTTTCTTTTATTTAGATGGCTTACCAATCGAATAGTAACGATTTAAATAAGAAAATTGCAAGTCTTCTGTACACAGGAGATTTGTCCGATGTCACAATAATTGTAGGAAAGAAAAAAACACCGTTTCAGTCTCACAAGCTTTTTTTGTCCCTGCACAGCGAAAAATTCAAAAACATGTTAATGACGGCCACGACGCCAAAAGAAATTCATTTAATTAATATAAATGCCAAGACTTTTCGTATATTTTTCAAGTAAGTACTTTACTTGGTTTTAGTATAACAATTATATAATTTTAAAAGAAAAAAATCTCCAAGAGTTCCAGTGATTTCAGTTACGTCACTAATCAAACACTAAGTACATCACTAATTACTCATTTGATGAACAGAGATGTAGATATTTTTTAGATTTTGTTTAATATTATATTTTCCTCTATATAAAATTTATTATTTAAAATTACATCCTGTCTTTAGAATGTAGTGAAGATAATATTTTCGTGGAATTTCCTTTGTCATTTTGTTTACCATCGTAAAATACATTTACTGTTAGTTACTGTATGTTTTCTACACGTGCATTTTACTGAATGCACATGTAGAAAATGTTCAAAAATAAGAAAAAATTAGTGTCAGAAAATTAAGTGCAAAACGTTCCTTATTTTATTTGGGTGAGATATAGGCTATATCATTGTATTGTTATTATATTATTAATTAATATTTTATAATTAGAAAAATCTAAAACATTAAAAACTATTATTCTTATTTATTCCCAGCTACGTGTATACCGGAGATTTGGCAATAAATTCTCCAGAACAAGCTCTTTCAGTTTTAATGTTTGCACACGAATATGGAGCGATCGAAGTGAAGAATAAATGTATGAAAATTTTAGCAAAGTCTGTTCCTCCGGATATTATTGCTGAATTGCATGAAACTTCACAATCGTTGACACAAGAATCATGTCAGGAATCTTCAGTTAATCAATGTGAATCTTCAAATACTTCCAGCAGAGATGGTGATACATTTGAGGAATATTCTGAAAATCCTTCCAGTGATAACTTTAAGGCATGTTCTGAAAGTTCTAAACAAGTAGAGAAAACATCCACTGAATTTCTGACACAATCCCTTCCTACGAAATTAAATGTGGATCATTCAAATTGTTATATTATTAGAACGGCTGGACAAATGAAGACCTTGGAAGAAAATTTAACTCATTCCTTCGATTTCAGCGGAGATTATTCGTATTCTCAGCCAATTGAAAAGAATACATTTCAGAAAACTCCAATGAAGAATCGACGTCCTAAATATTATTTTGATGCCTCGAAATTTCTTGAGGAAAATTGCTGCGAAAGCAAAAGTAAAGAAAACGTTTTGGATTTCTTTTCAGAAACAAATTTCAACTCAGAAGCAGACTTAAATGCAGCACTGAAGAAATGGGGACTTTCAGTGTTGCAATTGCACAAACCTACAAAATTACTTCAGAAAATTAAAGAAATGCTCCTCCAAAGCGAAATGAATAAACTAACAAGATTAGATGAAATGGTAGATTTTAATGCAGAACAAAATATAAAACAGTCTTTCTTAAAATTGTCTTCGAAGTGTTCAAAAACTTGGATTTCTTCCCTGAAATTTCCACGTATTATAGAACGTTTTTATTCGAGTGAATTCGATCTTTACGTATGTGGAGTTACACTCAATTTAAAATATTATTCTCTCGATTACAAAAGGGAAAATTTGATAGCTAAATTAGAAATTAGTAATTTAACTAAAAGTATTAATGCCAATAACACTATATCATTATGTTTAGACGAGAGTGATAGAGCACTATCGTTGAAATTGTTATCTCCTATTTTCATAGGTAAAGATGAAGTTTGTGAGATTGTTCTGAGTAGCGAATCGAAACTTACAAAAGCAGAATATGTCTATTGCGGAGAAATGTGCTGTCTAGATCATAGATTGAATCGATTGAAAGTCGAAACTGAACGTGCTGGGCATTTTAACTCCATTATAGTCTTTCCCGCATAGTGTTTAGTAATTAGGAGAGACTAGCCTATAATAACATACTCGATTAAAATGATACAGGGAATGTCACGAATTTGGCATATCTGTTTGTCAAAACTAAAAACACATTTTCATCCATATATGACAATAATAAAGGCAATTGTAAACTCGCTTTGTCTGAAGTAAATGTTAAATCATCCCATGTAAAAACATGGGATGGTTTTATGCTTAAATCAAAAATTAAAATCGAACCACTTCTAAGAAATGTATATATTAGCGTATGTATGGTATTTCTTCTTAAGTGGAAGGGGTGGGAATTGTGTAAGATAGATAATAATAATACATTAACCACGATCAAATTACAACTTTAGAGCTTGTATGGTATAAAAATGCATCCAGTTTTTTTAAATATAATATATGTATAATATTAATTATTGATTAATTAATATTAGTATTTAGTGTGACAATAAATACAATGCTATTCGCTATTTTATACACCAATTAAATATATTATTATATAATCAATATGATTAAATCAACTGCAATTTAGCAGCCATTTCTTTTTACAATGATAAAAATTGTGAAACGAATTCAGTTTTTATATTAAAACATTTAATATGTTTTTTGCTAATTTTTTATTTACTCTGTGCTTAAATCCTTACTTTGTATGTATTAAAACAAAATTTATTGTAATAAAGCTTTTTAAATTAAAATTTATATTTAATTCATTTTGTAAAAACATTAACATGACAATAAACTACAATGAAATATTAAATATATATTTAAAAAATAATTTTTATTATCAAAATTATATAGTCCCTGAAACAGAATAATAACCGAAAGACTCAAAAATTTTAATTAGCATAAAAATTAAAAAATCCAGAACAAAATATTAGGGAAAAAAACACATACAAAAAAATTCTGAAACGTGGAGAAATGCAATAAAATTGTTTTTGTACTGTATGAATGGATAATGTGGGGAGCATAATTTTCTTCACCCACTTTGAAACTTAATAACTCCTATATCTTTGATCGAAAATTTCAGAAATTTTGCAGGGAGGTTTGTGTATTAGGGAATTGATACTGGACATATGAAGTCGTGTGTCATATGTCCAGTAGTGTCGGACTTAATTGTGAGAACCGCATTTGCGGGAAAATATTCTATTATAAAATCATTATAAATTATTATAACATTTTGTTGTTCGGGAAAAGATAATTTTCCATTTCGAAAAAATTATTGATCAACTCAGCGATTAAAATGTTTTCCACGGATTTAGTTCCTTGTTAAAGTGATACCTCATATGAGTCACTCGGAAGTAACGAATGAAACTCGATCATTAAGCCCGAAGTACTAAAACTCCGAGTAGAGTCATGGGAAAAACCCAGGAGAGACCCCCTTATAAACAGGAGAAGACAATGACGACAGAGGCTTTGTCCCGTCAGCGAGAGTGAACTTTTATGTGCAGATGTGTGCGAACCCAGTGGCGTGCGGTGACATTTGATGATAGGGAAACTGTGTTTCTTAAGAAGACGACTTCCAGGGGCTATCAGTTAATTGCGCTTCAGTGATGGTTTAGGTTCCATTCGTATTCGTTTATTCGATAAGCCAGTAAAAACCGTAAATTTCTAAATGTATTTTTCATATCACACTTACATTCCGAATCGCTAGCCACGATATAGGGCTACAGTTAAAAATAAAATAATAAAAACTTACTTGGTGAAATAAAATGTGTGGTGGATGTACTGGTACATACCTGGTACAAAATATTCTTCAATTGTATGAATATACTTTTAAAGAAAAATTATAATTAAATATAGCTTTGTAAAGAAACGTACATAAAAATATAAAATATTCTTTACTTTTTAAATCTTAAAACAATCCACTTAGTCAAATAGCTCCCTACGAGTGGATAATGGATGGAATCGAAAACATTGCAGAGTGTGCATACATGCGAACTGCCAAATCCCCAGGATGCCGATACTGTTTATGTCAAATGCCTCTTTTGTCGCATCACTAGTATACCTCAAAGGACGCGACAGGACTGTTGTATATTTTAAACATTTCTCACCATAGCTGTAAAAATCTAAATTTGTTAAACTTAAAAGTCATTTGTTTTCTAACTAATCCATTTTAAGACCAGGTGTACATGGAAATTTCCAAAATTACAACTTTTAGTCACTTTCGTTGAACTGGAAAAATTTCTGTCTTTATTNATAAAATATTCTTTACTTTTTAAATCTTAAAACAATCCACTTAGTCAAATAGCTCCCTACGAGTGGCTAATGGATAGAATCAGAGACGGTTGCAGTGAGTGCATACACGCGGACTGCCAAATCCCCAGGGTGCCGATACCGGTCAATGTCAAATACCTCTTTTGTTGCATCACTAGTATATCTCAAAGGACGCGATAGGGCTGTACATTTTAAACGTTTCTCATCATAGCTGTAAAAATCTAAATATGTTAAACTTAATAGATTGTCCGTCGTTTGTTTTCTAACTACAGTAATTCGTTTTAGGAAAAGGGTCAACGGAAATTTCCAAAATATACTTTTCAGTCACTTAGGCCTATATTGAACTGGAAAAATTTCTGTCTTTATTAAATCTAATATTACGAAGAAATCAGTCTACACTGCACTCGGCTAGAGATTGGTTCGGTTAAGCTTTTAAGTAAAATTCCGGTTCTTTCGGCAGGGTTTTATGTCCATAATTCCCTAATCGCTTAATTATTTAAGTACTTCTTAAGTAGAAATAAGTAGAAATCGGTTACTTTGTACTCGAATATTTGTAGTCTCGGGAAAAAAGTGGCAAGACAAATTTTTATGACAGACGGATACATAAATCATAAATTTAAGGAAAATAAATTCTAGAGCTTTTTATGTATCTCGTGCATCTCTCTCGTTCATTAAATTTAGTTGTAAATGATGCTACCAAAGTAACAGTTAATTTTTTAATATTATACAAGAATTGTACACATTTTTTTCTACATCCCCTTAAAGATGGGACGTACGAAATCGTAATATCACTAGTTTAACATTGAGATCCGTAAGTAATATAAAATGGGAGAGCGAAATAAAAATATCAAATATTTTAATGGATTTTTTAAAAACTCCTGTCAACTATACAGAAATATCATAAAAACATACCAGTAAATTGTTTATCGGTTGGGTTAAGTTATAACTCTACTCATGATTCACGTAATCGGGCGAGGGCGGCCAAATATCTAGCAGACAAGCGGTTAAATCCTGAACCTCTTTGGATGGCCTAAGGACGAACCTACATCAAGAATCTACTCGAACTCCAGGAAGTTTTATCGTCGCGCGGAAGTTTTATAAGCTCTCTCTCTCTCCGGATATGATAAGCTTCCTCCTTGATAGTTACCGAGTTAGTGAAAAAACTATCTCCTCAGTCTTAAATTCTGTAAGTAGCCTCTCTGAATAAATGGGTATTTGTTAAATGAATAGCCTTTTGGAGTGCACTTCTTCCGGGTATCTCCCTCCGTCTCCATTTCAAACCTAAGGCTCCACAGACGCGACCGCTCGCGCGAACAAGACGGAAATTGCGGCCATCTAGGTTTCTGTGTCTACCCAGAAGACATAGTAGTGTCAGTCCTGACAGAATTTGTCATTACGGTGTTCGCCGACGCGTAGTCAACCCTTCGGTGCCGAAGAATAGGGGGCCCTTCGGTATTGTCACATAATGAAGATTTTACTCCTTATTAACTTCCTACAGAAAAAGAAATCTTTGAATACTTAGCAGAAGTTTGCTTTATTTTATTTAATTAGAAAACAATCTGTGCCAATAATTTTTTATGCTTTTAACAAAGAAAGTTCAATACATTTTCATTATTTATAAATCATAAACTATTCCAACTTCATTACGTATAACGCGTGACTGTGACGTCGCTTTAAAACAGTTATTTAAATAGCGAGTGCCACACGGCCGACCCACGTTTCCTTTTATCACCGGTTATTTACTCGACCAGTCAAAGGTATGTTAAAATAATAAATCTCTTTGTCAACAAATATTTTTCTTAGAATTGTGAGTTTTCAATGGATAATAATATTTAAAATAAATGAATTGCAAAGAATAATTAGCTAAAGTTTGGTGGGTTTCTTCGCTGATGTAACACCTAAATAAGATTAGTTTACCTTAGAAAGTCCTCTCGGGTGTCACCCCGCCTTGACAAATTATCTTTGTCAACACAAGGAAGACAATTTGTCGAACATTCGCAAAGTATAAACAATTTGCAAATAAAAAATGTGATATCGATCTCGGATCTCATCAGATTTATAAAAGAAAATTCTTTACATACAAAACAAATATAAATAATTTTTTTTAGAAATAATCTAAGTTTAGTCATTTTTAGACCCATCTTTCATTCAAATTGTCCAGGTTTGGTCGATAAACACGATCACTCTAGTTATAAAGTATATTATACTTACTAATTTAATTTAAGGTCAACGTACAATTATAATTAAATAATTATAGCTTTAAAAAATTGCTATATGAAGCAATGCGCAAGTAAATATTATATTTTAATTGTTTATTTTATTAATATTATATTCGAAATAATATAAATTAATGTAATAGAATCAATCGATAGAAATTCGCTTAGTAATTTCAATAGATTATGCTTATCATAACACATAACAAAATCATGAAAAACGCTGGAAAACTGCTGACTGTGATGAATAATGCATGTTTTCTCATTACCTATTCTTTAATAAGTAAAATTATTCTTAATTTCGAATTAAATATTCTTTTAATTTTTATTTAGAGCACGTGTTCTTAATGTTTTTGGAAGGTTTGAAATACAATAGGAAACTTTAAAACGTTTGTATTTCGTTGGATTTGTGATAATAAATTTCATATTAAATAAGAAGGGATTGTATGATATTATCTCGTTGTGTGTTTACGCCTATTAGTGGCCAAGCATTGTTGGTTGGAACCCGTTGGTGGGTTTGCACCTCACCAACAAATGGCCACGTAAAGTCTTCCACGCCTTCTGGCAGATCACTCATGTGTTGTGTTGCCTTATTTCAACAAACAAACATTTTATTTATTTACATATTTTAAGTAATGCTATATAAAGTTAGATTATTACTCTGCAAAACGTAATATGTATATTTCTAAACAAATAGGTCTACTATTTTTTCTCTTCTAGATGTCCTGGCAAACGAATATCTCTGACATAACACGTAGATTATTTCATCTTCTGGAATCTCACGAAATGAGTGATGTCACTCTGATTGTTGGTGAAAATGAGGAACGTTATCCGACACACTCTTGGCTTCTCTCTATGTATAGTGAAGTGTTCTACGCCATGTTTTATGGCCCTATGGCGGAGAAGAAACGGGATATCTTACTACCTAATGATGATCAGAAAGCCGTTTCTATTTTTATAAAGTAAGTTGTACAAATTTTTATATAGATACTTTTAACAGCTTTAGTCTTTTGTTAAAATATTTTTTACTGTTAAAAACTTTATTTTATTGAATGAATTAACCTAAATACATATTCTACACATTATTCTGTACACAGAGGAGTGCAAAAGTAGATATACAGTGTTTATTATGAAAAATAACATGCAGGAAAAAATATATTTTTATTCATAATTATTATAAATATAATTTAATTTCCGATGTATGGCAAACATTTATAACAATAATTATATTTTTCAGTTATATATATACAGATAAAATAGTAATACGTTCAATAGAAGAAGCCATTCATGGGTTACATTTTGCGGAAAAATACATGATAACGTTTATGAAGGAGCAATGTTTATTATATCTTACAAAGTATATATCGTCAGATACCGTTCTCGAAATATACGAAACAGCAGCCCTACTTCAACAAAATGAATTAACAACGAAATGTTGGAATTACATAGTTAATAACGCATCAGAAATTATTAAGCACGATAGCGTTAAAAATGTGAAATATGAAACTATTTTGAAGATTGTATCGGAAGATAATTTAACGTTGCAATCGGAGTTAGATATGTATAACGCTGTCATAAAGTGGGGTAAAGAAAGATTTCAAGATCAATCTCCCGGGGATCTTCGAAAAAACTTAGAGCCTTTGTTGCAACAGATCAGATTTTTAAGTATGACTTCTGCAGAGTTTGCGGAATCTCCGTGCCAAGATGGTATTCTTACTCACGATGAACAGATTGATATATTTAGAGAAATTTCTACGTCAAAGACTTACGATAGTAACAATATACTGGACCAGTGGAGAAAACGGAGAGAAGCGGTTAAGTCGAGAAAGGTTTATCAATGTCCAACGTATGTATTATATCAGTAATGTCATACAAATCAAGTTAATTATAATTAAAATGAAAAATAAAACTAAAAATTTATTACTGTTTACTAGGAATACAAATGTATGTATAGTTTAAGGTAATTCAGATAAATGTGAACATTTGTATATGTGAGGTCCCAGACGATGTCCGAAATCGCGTAAATCGCGGAATTTTTGTGTTTAAATTATAATGATAGATTATATAAGAGAAAGAGAATATAAGATTATATAAGAGAGAAAGAGAAAAAAAACCCTTTATCTAAACAACGAGTCCCGGGACTACTCCAACACGTGTTAAACAATCTGTCAATGTCAAATCGAGAGATGGAACTTTGACACAAACGCTCGTATACAATCGAAATAGATTAAGAAATTGTGAAAAAGGAGAAGGTTCGATGGTCAAAGAGACATCGCGCTGGATCGTTCGAATTCTAAAATGTCATAATAAAAGAAATAAAGGGCTAAGTAATGAGCGTGGAGGTATAGACAGTGGTGATATTCGAAATATTTAACAAAGGGTTCGCTAACAGAAAATTTTTCCTTAACATTTTTTTTTTTTTGCTCAAATGGTGCATTAGCAAGATTAGCGCAAAAACTGACCTTAAGATACTCATATAAATAAAAAAGATGCGTTCACAAAATTAAGTCAGTTAAAATTTAAATTAACATTGTTTATGCCAGAGCTATTTTTTTTATAAATAATAAAAAAGTGTTCAAAATGGTTTGTTTTGTATATATTTTATTACGACACGTGTTCCGCAGCCATCTTGTATTTTCTCGCGCGCGTGGGATTGTGGGATATCTCTTATGACGATTTAGTTTCAAGAACTCTCTTGAGTCGGTCGCGATTGAACCTCGATTGAACCTCTTGAGTCGGTCGCGATTGACCGTTTCAATCTTGACTGAAACGGTCGAGGGAGGTCGTACCAAGGCGAACGTGATATAAGGCTCTAGTTTAGTAGTGTTACAGAGTATAATACGTTTATATTTTAATATATTTTTTAAAAGAAACAAAACCAGTGAGAAATGTTACGTGTGTTCAACAAGGTTCGGAAAACTGAAAATGTTAACAACGGGTTCGGCGGAACCTGTGCGAACCCGCTGAATATCACCACTGAGTATAGATTCGATCAACGTCTCCCTGTCGAGAGTCGACAGACGGTGTCGGATAGATGTGTCATCTTTGCCTCCAACATCACCACCCACATACGATCAGTCCCTAAACTTTTCCTGACGCGAGATTAATTGATTCCCTCCTAAAAGTCGGCCAGCTCACATATGGAACATATAGTATTATCTTCCGGCTGTTATATATAACAGTTGGAATGTGTAGCGATCGGTCAAAAAATAACCCCGGAAGATTTTTACATTTTTTGGGCTTAGAGAACATTAAAACGTTGAGAAATGCAAAAAAGTTGGCATTTTTTTTCTCTGCGTGTATGGATGTTTGTTTGTTTGTATTTGTGTGTGTGAATGGGAGGCATGATTTTGATCATCTACTTCAAACATTCTAGCGATTAAAGGTAGAGAAAGAGGGAAGATAGAGAGGATTCATATGTCGTATCTCGAGTGGGTAGAACTTAATTAAAGGAAACAGAATAGGGAATACACTGTATTGCAATTGCACAAACCTACAAAATTACTTCAGAAAATTAAAGAAATGCTCCTCCAAAGCGAAATGAATAAACTAACAAGATTAGATGAAATGGTAGATTTTAATGCAGAACAAAATATAAAACAGTCTTTCTTAAAATTGTCTTCGAAGTGTTCAAAAANTAGCGATTAAAGGTAGAGAAAGAGGGAAGATAGAGAGGATTCATATGTCGTATCTCGAGTGGGTAGAACTTAATTAAAGGAAACAGAATAGGGAACACTGTAACATGAAAATAAATGGAATTTTATAGCTTTAAAGAATCCCTGTTTGTTTAAAACTATTGTTTGTTTGTTCGTTTGTTTATTTATCTTACGGCAAGGCAATACTTGGGCGTTCTGCATATGGTGATTGCCTTCCGGGAAGTCTTTTTAATTAAAGGTAACTGGCCCCTATTCAGACGTTACAGATATGGAGAAAATCAGAAAACTCCACTTGGCCAACCTGTTCTGGCCAGGCGCGGACCAACGACCAAATGTTCAGGGAATGGAACAGCTTGGCCACTGGTGGGCCTATTGACTCCAGGAAAGCGTATTTAAGCTTTATGTTATACAAAATATTGGCATAATGCTCTCAGAGCCATCAACATACACATGTCCATTGTCGATACTTGGCGCGTTTTTCAAAAAGTCTGTACGTGACTGGTGTTATGCAAATTGTATTTGGACTGTAACTTGAGACTTTTGCTACATATTGTTTTGTTAAAAACATCATAATGACTTAAATATACACGTTTCTTATATAAACATTGGCCGAAAAATGTTATATTCAACGATCTAATAACTTCGAGTACTGTATTGATGATCAGATGTTCTGTGTGATAGTATGTATTCTTGTATACAAGTAATGTCCAAAGTTGGATATCGTTAAGAGTACTCTGGTTACGTTAACTTTAACCAAAAACTGTGAAATACTGAAAGAAAATCGTTTCAACAGCATATTTGGAAGTTTATCCGAAAAACGTTAATATTATCCACCAGTAGATTACTTGGATAATGTCATATTGTGAGGTTTGTGGGTTATACAAAATTTTTTCATTAACTTTTCGTGATCCGGCAACATTGATCTGTAATGTTACTGCGTAGGGAATTTCAATAATTTCCCGCTATGTAGAAAAATTTGAGCCAGTTTTTAGTGTTGGGATAGAAATACTGTAGTATTTTTTCAAAAATATGGAAAATTTTTAAATGATCGAAGTAAAACTTTGTTTCAAAATTGTATTTTCGGAAACTTATTATTATGAGAACTTCCGTGTTTCAGAAATGAGTAAGGTTTTATTCGTTATTGAAAAATTAATTAGGGATGTATTATGAAATGTAACAATTGATAACGAAGAAAACAGTACATGAAATGATTCCATTGATGAAACTTTACATTTCAGTAGTTCATTGCCTATCTCAAATTGTTTGGTGTTAGTGTTACACAATGTTACACAATACAAGGTGAAGGTCAAATAAGTAAGGTATGTCGTTATTGAATCGTTGGTATTTTAAAAATTTACGTTTAATTACGGAAAAAGTAAGTCTTAATGTAGATAATGTTTTAGTCAGCGTAGAATGTCGTTATTGAATCGTTGGTATTTTAAAAATTTACGTCTAANTTTATTTATTCATATTACTTAGAGATATTAATTTTATTTGATTTATTTTTGTGTTTAATTTCTTGTTTACATTATGTTTTCTCTATTTCATCTTTTGAACTTCAAAGTCCGTCTAAACAGGATTATTTATTTTTGCAGGAAAAGTATGAATAAATATTGTTTTTTTTATTTTGTTATCAGATCTTGGGTTATTAAAAATAAATTTTTTTATTCGGATACTTTTGGGCTACTTTTTAGAAAATTTTTGTCCACAAAAGCTAAAATCATTTGGCAACGTTGTTCAGTATTCAAGACACTTCCGTAATTAGAGATTTTGTTGCGTTTTCTTATTGGTGAGCGAGTTCGGTCAAATAAACTGCAATGGTGAAAAAATTTTCAATAAATAATGCCAGTAAAAAGAGAAGTTGATAGTGAGTGCCGATTTTTCCATCCAAAGTGGGAAATTTTGTATTTTTTTATTGAATGAATTGTAAACCACTTTGTTTGATTTAAAATAAGATTATTGCCGTTTATAAAGAATTTAATGTGAAAAGACACTACGAAACGAATCATAAAGACAAGTTTGAATTATTTACCAACGAAATTAGGCAAGAAAAACTGGCATCTTTGAAAACTAAACTTATGGGACAGCAATCATTTAAAAAAAAAATCAAAAACTAACAGTGAGAAGGCATTGAAAGCTAGTTATTCGATCGCACTAAAAATTGCAAAAAAATCAAAAGCTTTTAGTGACGGCGAATTTTTAAAAGTATGTATGCTAGACGTGGCCGACATTTCATCCCCATCACAGAAACAAGTCATTCAAGAAATTCTCCTGATTAGAAATACAATTGCTTCCAGAGTAAATGAATTGGCAGAAAATTTGGACTTTCAACTTAAACATAAAATTAAAAAATTTATCTAGTATTCCTTAGCAGCCAATGAAAGTACAGATATCGGAGATACATCGCAGCTTCCTGTATTTATTCGTGGAATTAATGAAGATTTTAACATCATGGAAGAGTTGCTGCAGTGCATACCATTGAAGAGTACTACCACAGCTCAAGATATTTACTCAGCAATTGAGCAATTAGTACCAAATTATGACTTGGATTGGAGAAAATTCTGCAGTATTACCACAGATGGGTCGCGGCCGGATGGCCGAGCGGTCAAGGTGGCAGCCTACTACTCTGGGGGACCCGGGTTCGAATCCGAACGGGTCGAAAAATCCCCAGGAATTTTACGGGGATGGTCCGTTCGGATATGTCGGGCCCCGTCCCTCACCACCCGGCAGCCCCACTGTGGGCCTGGCAGAACCCATAATGGGCTTGGAAAAAGAGGCCCTTTAGTGCCCACAGGGCGGAAAGAGTTTAAAAAAAAAACACAGATGGGTCACCATCCATGGTCGGTAAAAATGCTGGTCTTGTCACAAAAATACGGAACAAAATTTTATATGAAATTAAAGGTGAACGACCCAAATTCGTTGGAATTCACTGTATTATACATCAAGAAGTCTTGGCCTCTAAAGTGCTGAAAATGGAGCATGTAATGAATCCCATAATTAAAACAGTTAATTTTATTAAAAGTAGAGAACTAAATCATCGGCAAATCACACAATTTTTAAACGACCTTGATGAAAAATGTTCAGATATTTCCTACTTTGCAGAAGTACGGTGGCTTAGTCGTGGATCAATGCTTAAACGATTTTTCGAATTACGTAAACACGTTGTTACGTTTATGGCTCAAAAGGGCAAACCGATGGAACACAGTGATGAATGGTGGCTTGACTTTGCGTTCTTAGTAGATATGACGGAACACTTGAATAATTTGAACGTTAAACTTCAAGAAAAAAATGTAATCGTTACGCAACTGTACTCATCAAGTGTTCAAGCTTTCAAAATAAAATTAAAGTTGTGGGAACCGCAGCTGCGAGAACAAAAACTTGACCATTTCCCTAGCATTCGTAAAATCGGCACGTACAATGCAGATAAATTAGCAGATTTTTCTTACCGTTTGCTTGATCTTATTGCTGAATTTGATTTTTTTGCAGATTTTAGCGAGCTCAATACCTACGACTTTCCTCTTTTTAATGATCTGTTTACGTTCGATGTTGGTAAAGCACCGACTTACTTGCAAATGGAACTAATAGATTTGCAGTGTGATACTGCTTTTAAAAAGCAAGTTCAATGAAGTTGACGTTTTGGCATTTTATACAAAGTACTTCACAATCAAAATAGCTATCCCTACTTAAGGAACCATGCTGCCCGCATTTTATGCATGTTTGGAAGTTCATATGTGTGTGAACAGTTGTTTTCAACAGTGAAGATTAATAAATCTAAATACCGTTCAAGACTTACAGATGAACATCTTCAGTCCATTTTGAAAATCAATACATCGTTGACATCAAACATCGAGAAGATAATGAAGCGTAAAAATCAAGTTTCTGGATTATCAAAATAATATTTTGGTTTAATACGTCTCTACTTAAAAAAATTATAATTTTTTTCTTTAATAAAATCATTCTTTATATACTTCTTATTTATACTTAGTATTACATTTGTATTTTATTTTTAATCTGGTCCGCTGTCATACTTGAGACAAAAAATTGGCACTTGAGTTTGTGTTTAACTCCCCTGGGCTACATGTACCGATTAGGGTTTCTTTCCCGGGATTCTCGCCGTTTATTCCCTACGAGAAAAATCCTGGGAAATTTTATTTTCCCGGGAAATCTCGCATTTCAATAATAATTTACCATGTCAGGTTTTCTTTCTAGTATTTATGTGAGGCCCTGGAAATAGCCTCCCCCCAAAAAAGGAAAGATATGTAAAAATTTGTTATGTTAAATTCGTCGAGAAAGCAAAATATATATAAGTGTCGAATCGGCGACACCCGACCCGCTCATCAAAAGTTGACAGAAAACCCAAATTTAAGATAAAAAGAAGAAAATTTAAAATATTAAAAGTTAAGACGCAGTTTAGAAAGCAAAACGAAACTAGATAAAAAAAATGTCTAGATGAGCAGAGGTGTCATAGTCAACAATTAAACGCGATCAGATTCGAAAAGATGGTGTCGAATAAACCATCTCCAGCCGACCTTTTCCACGAACTTAACGAAGCTCCATTTACACCTGGAGACAGGTGGATGACCAATTGGAAAACGGTGATGTAAGATCTATCCAATTGACAAGAAGCCGATCGCAAAAACCCTATAAAAACGCAAAATTCAAGGACAGCGGGACTTTTTCTACTTGATTTCTACTTCCACCAAGACTTCCACCTATACTTCTGTTGTATTCGTATATCTTCATCTTTCATGCATCGACTTTCGAGACATCGAACTTTTTTCTCCTCAACACTGTCCAGGGGCCCCTACGATGACGCACCGGATCACCGCCGAAACTCCCGGCAACGCAAGACCAGCACCGAAGCCGAAAAATTTATGTAAGCATTATCGTCCGGAATAAACGGTTTACTTTTGTAAAACACTTGTCTTTGCTGCATTTAAAAACCGCCACCCACATACGCTAAGACCTTAGACCATCCCGACGGTAGGGAATAAAAATCTCCCCCCAATCGGCGTTCTTACATTTATTATACGAAAAGTTGGATCTTGAAGACTCACCTAAGAGAGAAATTTTGAGGTTTCTTGCTGCATATTATTACCTATGTTTTACAAGTCTCTACTTGTTAGTTCATGTAATATCTATGTATTGTGTTTGCGCATCATTGAACAGTGGAGACTTGCTGGAAGTAAATATCACTCATCGCACTTTAGTTTGTTTTTTATTTCATCTTTAGAAGTAAAATAGTATTTTTTCGTAATCATTAAAACTCCCAATGAAACGCTTTATTTTACTTTCATCTTATAATGTAGGAGAACATAGAGAGAGATTGCGGCCGACGTTTTCATCGAGAAAACGTGTATGTCGGACATTCAGCGCCGCCTTCCTGTAAGCCTAGGAGTTTGACAATGGTGCTTGGAATGTCGAGCATGATTCCACTGACTATCCAAACACCATTGTCAAACTTCTAGGCGTACAGGAAAGCGGCACTGAACGTCTGACGTACACGTTTTCGCGATGAAAACGTCGGCCGCAACCTCTCTCATAATTTAATTGAGCCTAACGCGTCGGTATGGGTGAGATTGGCCCTACACTTTTAGTTACTTACTAGAAAATAAATTAAATTATTCAAATTTATGATATTCCTGTATGATCTTTTTTATTCATATAAAATTCTATTTTACTATCTCATCCCGAAATTTCCCGGGATCCCGGGAAAAGAAATTATTTTTCCCGTAATCCCGCTGGAGGCAAATTTCCCGGAAATGAGAAACCTTAGTACCGATATATTATATTAGCAATTCTTGGCTTTCTCCATTGATCATGGATATTGTTACTTTTATAATTCTTTCTGGTTACAATTTCTCTAAGTATGTCAAGCTGTTCATCTTTAGTAAGGATGCCATCTTGGCACGGAGATTCCGCAAACTCTGCAGAGGTCATGCTTAAAAATCTGATCTGACCCAACAAAGGCTGTAATTTTTTTCGAAAATCTTCTGAAGATTGATCTTGGAATTTTTCTTTACCCCACTTTATAACGGCGTCATACATATCTAATTCGGAATTCAACGATAAATAATCTTCAGATACAATCTTCAAAATAATTTCATATTTTACGTATTTAAAGTCGTTTCGCTTAACAACATTTGACGTGTAGCGAGTTATATACTTCCAACATTTCGTTTTTAATTCATTTTGTTGAAATAGGGACGCTGTTTCGTATATATCGAAAACAGTATCTGACGATATATTATTCATAAGATATGATAGACATTGCTTCTTCATACGCATTACCATGTATTTTTCTGCAAAATGCAACGAACGAATGGCTTCATCTACTGAATGTAATGCCGCTTCATCTGTATATATATAACTGAAAAATAATGAATTACTTTAATAGATTCGTTATACATTACAAATTAAAGTTCTAACATTGATCAAATGTTGTTTAGTTTACTTTTATCATTTCTTGTTGGGAATTATGTTAAAATTCTCAAATTATTTAATACATGGATCATTTTTATGCTTAGCTGTAAAAATTTAAAAATAACATCATTTTATAACTAATAGAAATAAAGACAATCACCAGATAATACGATACACAATAAAAATATTTTTGCTGTTTTATATTTCGCTTTTTAGTATTGTTGACAACAATGCTAAAAAGCGAAATAAAGAGCAGAAAAATTCCTCTCCTTGATAGGAAAGTAAGGAAGAATTCGTGAAGCAACTGTTAATTATAAGCGGGTAAAATTTTGAATGCTTGTTTTTAAATTTCGAAAAAATAAATTCACCAGTCTTTTGATCAACGGGTTTGCCGTGTGGATTTTTTCGGGTTTCTTTTTGTGTCTAAAAACTACATAGGATCCAGTTTCCGTTCGATCGTCTTGGAAACAGACTAGTTGCTTCATTCTTTCAATTCAATATACTTTATGTCTAAATAATATGGACTATTTACTACCAATATTTTTAATTTGGTTTTTGTGTAATAAGCAGCACATTTTTTATTTACTGCTAATTAATGTAATGTTATCTAACTTATAATCGGGATATCTTTCTTTGTTGTAGGTGTTAGAATTTTACGTTACAGCCATAAATAGCCAAAATACGGCCAAGATGTAATGACAATAATGAAGATGTTTTACGAATTTTTTAATTTTAAAAATAGTTTCAGAAAAAGTATTAAATAAACAATAAAAAAGCATCTGAAAAACACAAATTTTAGTATGTATAATGATAATAATAATTTGATAGCCTACTTTATAATAATGGAATGGTATTTCAATAATTATTAAAAATACTTCGTGAAAGTTTAGTATAACTTACTTTATGAAAACACGAAATGCTTTAACATCATCTTCAGGCAAGGCAACACTTGTCTTTTCTCCGCCATAGAACCATAGAACATTGCATAAAACACCTCGCTGTGTATACAGAGAAGCAGAGAGTGGGTTGGAAAATATTCTTTTTCTTGACCAACAATTAAAGTGACGTCTGTCATTTGTCCAGATTTCATAAGATGTGACAATCTTTTGTTTATGTTAAAATCATCTGATTGCCAGGACATCTAGAATAAAAATAGTACAGGTATTTAGGATAATTGAGTGTTGCTTACTGCACTAAACAAGTAATAGTAGTGATTCGATAACTTATGTAATCTTATAAATAAAATATACCCCTAAGTAATTTTACATTTTATAAGAACACATACTCTTAATTTTCTGCTTTCAATTTATTTAATTTTTCCATCGTATCATCAAGAATATTGACTAATAAACTATGTGAATTACCAGCAATATATTTTCGATATAGTTTATGATATTTTAAAACATGACACCAAGGAAGATGATTAAGGAAATCATTCGTGAAGTTTACGTTTAATACTTGATAACGGAAAACTCAGTCCCAATGTAAATGTTTTACCCCACGTAGAATGTCGTTATTGAATCGTTGGTATTTTAAAACTATTCTCATATCTACTTTACGTATATAAATCTTAACAAATTTATCTGGGAGAAATTGAAATTCATCTATCTTATTCCAATCGAGATATTTTGAAAAATTATTCATGAATTTTTCGTATAATATTTGATGATTTGAAATTAAATCCCATTTTGTATGTCTAATATGTTTTTTTGTTGAATGAAATAGAAAATATATAATTTTCCCATATTTGTTCGCAGTATAAATTATTCGCGAGTTTTGACTTATAACATCCCACTTAACATAATTTTTAAAATGTCGAATAGTATTTTCGTCTATTTGTAAACTTGAAAAGTTTTCCCAATCAACTGATATAATGTGTTTGTATTCTATAAGAAAAAAATCTATATTAGGATATATTTTTTATATGTATAAAATACACCACACATTTTAATAGAAGTTACAATATTGATTTACAAAATACTATATTGAATAACATTTTTAGTAGAATTTCTAGAAATATTTATTTATTAATACAATTACATTTTATAATTTTTTTTATCGCACTATGCTATTGTTATCTTATCACTTACTAGAAAAAATTGTAGTAAGTGATAAGGCAACAAGAAATGTGTGTTGTGATAATGATGAGCACATTCTGTTTAATGTACTGTACATCCGTATATTTTATTTTGCAATAATTTTAATGATGATGCTTTATTCTCTGCCTGTTTAGGCAAGAATATGTTTATTGCAAATACCTTGTATTAAATAAGTTTCAGAACTTTTTCATCTTGTATAATATTAAATATCCGTATTGAAAGAATGATGATATGAAAGAATCTGTAAGAATTAAAAGTAAAAGGTATACCTTTTACTTTTAATTCTTAACATAATTCTTTCAATACGGATATTTAATATTATACGAGATGAAAAAGTTCTGAAACTTACTTAATACAAGGTATTTGCAATAAACATATTCTTGCCTAAACAGGCAGAGAATAAAGCATCATCATTAAAATTATTGCAAAATAAAATATACGGATGTACAGTACATTAAACAGAATGTGCTCATCATTATCACAACACACATTTCTTGTTGCCTTATCACTTACTACAATTTTTTCTAGTAAGTGATAAGATAACAATAGCATAGTGCGATAAAAAAAATTATAAAATGTAATTGTATTAATAAATAAATATTTCTAGAAATTCTACTAAAAATGTTATTCAATATAGTATTTTGTAAATCAATATTGTAACTTCTATTAAAATGTGTGGTGTATTTTATACATATAAAAAATATATCCTAATATAGATTTTTTTCTTATAGAATACAAACACATTATATCAGTTGATTGGGAAAACTTTTCAAGTTTACAAATAGACGAAAATACTATTCGACATTTTAAAAATTATGTTAAGTGGGATGTTATAAGTCAAAACTCGCGAATAATTTATACTGCGAACAAATATGGGAAAATTATATATTTTCTATTTCATTCAACAAAAAAACATATTAGACATACAAAATGGGATTTAATTTCAAATCATCAAATATTATACGAAAAATTCATGAATAATTTTTCAAAATATCTCGATTGGAATAAGATAGATGAATTTCAATTTCTCCCAGATAAATTTGTTAAGATTTATATACGTAAAGTAGATATGAGAATAGTTTTAAAATACCAACGATTCAATAACGACATTCTACGTGGGGTAAAACATTTACATTGGGACTGAGTTTTCCGTTATCAAGTATTAAACGTAAACTTCACGAATGATTTCCTTAATCATCTTCCTTGGTGTCATGTTTTAAAATATCANAAAAGCAGTTGAAACTGCATTCTTATGAATAAAAATTTGAGAAACTATTTATCGTTTTATGACGAGTAAAATTTTTTCGTCGCGTTCGCGGCTTTTAAGTAATGCATAAACCTTCGAAACGCGAGACCCTTCGGACCGCGAGGCATAGACGGTGGCCCACGTTACCTATGCCTTACGCCGCCCTTGGTCATAGAAATGATGTAATTTGAAAATAAATTATTTATAAATACGTATGTCAAGTTATATTTTTATTACGACGCAAAATATATTTAAGAGTTTACAACCACTGTGCTGGGTGAGACGTTGTTGAAACAAAAAAAGTTATCATTCCATCACGTACATAAACAGTATCGTAATTCGCCAAGTGCAAATCCGCAAATTCGTAAAATTTTTGTTTATTTTGGACAATCCGGATAATCGAAAATCCGGATAATGGAGGTCCGGATAATGGAGGTTCTACTGTAAATGGTGTTTGTTAAATCTGAATAAAAATTATTCTTGATCTTAACATGTGTTGTGTGATTGAAATTTACTAAGTAAATTATAATCACACAACACATACATAATATAAGTAAAAAAAATATACGTATGACAACAAAAAACATGTACATAAAATTATTGCATTGGCCATCTAACCCAAATAGCACGGGCATGATGGACACAGTGTCAGTGAGAGACATATTTAAGAGCATGTTATGGCTTGAGTGAGATTCTAGTGTTCGGAAAAAATTCCCCATTGATATAAATTTATTATTTATACCACGGAAAGACACCGCTGCTGCTGCTAAATCGCCCACCGCTGCAGCCTCGGTACGGTTTCTAGGGGGGCGTACCGGGCTAACTTGTACATATAGAAAATATAAATTCAAGTAAAAGTGAATACAAATAATTTATTATCAAAAATATTGTTTTTATAGAATAATAATTTCTTGGTTTATCCGTTCTTTCTAAAGCAGATTTTATTTATTTAGTTTTTCAGATTTTCTTAATTTTATTTTTAAATTCGAATGNTAATTCCATGATAACGAAAGTTACTTTTCCTGTTAGAAGGATGTAACTTCAACTTATTCACGTGGCCAGATCATGGCTTGGCATTCTGTTCTCAGAGTTGTACTTAATGTTTCGAAATCATGACTAGCGGGGCAAGATCGGCAACATAAAACCACATTAGAAGCAATGGATAAAAATAAAAAATTCGGAACTTGCAGATCGGAATTGTTTTAGAGAATGCGAATTCGAAGTAAACTAAAAGAAAGAGGCAGAAAAGTCCTAAAGAACTAGAAAATGACGGTAAAAATACTTATTGTATGTATTGCAATGAAAAATATGGCATTTCTCAGGAGGTTATGCTGTAAATGTAAACTCTGGGCTCATATGGACTGTACGGATGTAGAAAATGTGTATGTTCAATTTATTTGTGATATGCGTAGAGAATAAAAGAATAAACAATATGCTTTTATATTGCTTTTACATTGGTTTAGGATGTTTTCATTTATTATCTGTTTGATTTTTTGTAACTAATTTGTGTTTGCATTTTTTTATTTATATATGTCTTTGAACTTGCATTTTGTTGTAATAATATTAAATAGGTTTTAAACTTGTATTTCTTTGTTTTAATAGTGAATTCCAACTTATGCATTGTTAATAACATAAATTTATATACCTGCCTATCTTGCCCCATTACTGTTGCCGAAGTTGCCCCTAAACCAAGGGCAACTTCGGCAATTTCTATCTTTTTGTAAAGTTATAATTATTTTAATTATTTTCATTTCCAAACTGATTTTAACCAGTTCTATAGTAAGGTAACATTCCAATAGACAATATGCAAAGCTTTTTTTTCAGTTTACAGCAGTATTTATTACACAAAATTTAAGTAAAGCTTAACATGCGGAACTTGCCCCGGTCTCTCCTACTTATTGTACTGGAATACGTTTCAAAGTACTATTTCTATAAAGCAAAAACATAACTTAAAAAGAAAAAAATTAGATAACATTAAAAATCTTAATAAGTACTATTAATTAAGTTGATCTTGTATATAAGCTAGCAAATAAATCACGCACTGTCTGGGTACAAAATAAGATCAAACATTAAAATAAATCTACATTAATTAAAAGTATGGTTATTTTAGCACACACTGCCTACGATTGTATGTTTATCATAAAGTGTCAACAGATAAAATCAGAGGAAGTGTCCAGATTTGATGAGAGTTTAAATTTTCTATTTATCATACAATTACTGCAATTCGTTGTATTAGACCTATAGAAATATTTTGACTTATAAAATAAATCTCTCTTCAATCTTTTACGTTGGTATGTTAGAGTGTTTCTAAAGCATACAATTACTTACCTCCAAATTTTGCATTATTGATACAACGTCTCACTTTCTATGTAGAATGGATGTAGAATGAAGCAGAGTAAACCTGTATTATCATATACGCTTTTAAGCTGAGTATGATGCCTTGAGAAATTCGAAACCGAAACTTAATGGCCTAGTTCTGGTTTTGGTTTTGATATTTCAAAATCAAAATCATAGGTAGAGAGATTATTTTTTTATTATACGCATGTTAACAGATAATTAATTAATCTATTTTAAAATCGATAAGATTTTAGGTTTGAACGAGTCAATATTTATTGTGACATGGTCACAATGCTGAGCTGCAATTTTTAATTAATTTCATTTAAAATATATGCTCTCCACCTCAAATTAGTAGTGGCTTGCCCTGTACATTATACTTTTCTTTTAACAATACAGTTGTGCCGGTCATCTAACACTTTTAGGAAGAAAATTT